TTAATGTGTTTTTTTATATTTGGGACCAGAAACCTTGAATTAATTCTTGGTTTGATTGTGTTGAAAACTCAACAGTTCTACATGAATCTCTTGTTCCTGGAAAGGACATTCCGCCAATTGTACACATGGACTTTCAGTAAAGTAAAGTACGAGCCTGTACTAGTGAACGGTGAAGGTGAGCTTTAAGATGTTTCCGTCTTTAGTACAAATCACTTCGTTGACATTCTCCAGATCTCCCTTTTGTCTGAGCTTTCTTTTTTACTGCTGGATTCAGGGCTGTATGATAGCTATTGAAGCTGTACCGAAGAGTCAGAAGCTTCAAGCATAACGCTGACATTGAACATTAACATTAATGTTAACATTAAATGTTCAAATACAATAGTCCACGACTTCCACATTCTCTTCCCCTCTCTGTCTCAAAAACATCCAGCGAGCGACACTCAAAAGTCAACATTGATTGAATAAATATAGATGTAATCATTTCCAAAATTCACAACATGTGTTTGTCTTTTAGTTATTATCGCAATATTCCAATTTAATCCAAATAGTTGGTGTTTAGCCTTTCAAAAGCGTCCCTGTATTAATGGGCTGGTGTAGCAGCGATCTAACAGCACCATCAATTACATTTCTATAAGCACAGTTACACAGAATCAGACAGATGCTAGCATGTAGCATGCTACAACAATGCAATGAAGCACAGAGAAAGCAAGAGAAAAATAGGGTGATGATTGAACATGATAGTTCTGTTATCGTGGGCGCGTAAGGACCGTTATCGTGGCCGACCTATATCGCATGGAACTATAGTTTCATCATATCGCCCAAGCCTAACGTCCAATCTCACTCTTATTCTACAGGCATCTTGATTCATGAACGGGATTGTGTCTCAGGGCACTTTTGGGCGATCAGTCTGCTCCATCCCGACCCATACGGTATCCTTAACTTGAGATATCCATGCAACCATTGATCTAAGCTGACCAATCATATTTCTTTAAGTTAGGTAAACGTAGAGCCCCCATTGTCTTTTGGGCATAACATTCTTTTAAATCTAATTTTGGTGCTTTAATATTACCACATAAATGTAGATATCCATTTCTTAGTGTTTTGCATGTAGCAATAGGGACCTCTTATGGTAGAGATTGGAGCATGAAGCGCATTCTTGGTTATATGTTCATCCGTATTGTTTGCACACGCCCTATTAGGGATAAAAGGAGTTTTCCATTTCAAAGGATCTTAAAAGCTGCAGCCATTTATTTTTCTGACCACTTGGGAGCAGCTGAGCTCTTAAGATGTATCAGATATTATCACCTTCTTAATGCTGTTATGGGGAACGTGTTAGCAAACAATTGCCTATTTGCGCATCCAGCAGACACGAAGCAACATTAGCGTTGGTTTGGTGTCGTGTTTTTGTCCAACCCGACAAATGAAAATCCGATATTCCCTCTCCTCGGCTGTTAGATGTCTTCACCAGCCGGTCACTGAGGTTATTGGTCTGCTGTTTGCTGCAGGGCGGCTGGTGTACAGTGAGGAGCTGCTGCTGGAGAAGGGAGTGAGAACAGAATATGCTGGGCTGGAAAACCAAAACCATGAGCTAAAATAGGCTCAAAATACACAGTAGAGGTGCAGAATTGGGCAGTAACTCTCTGTGGGGTTGTCACCATGAATGACCGCTTTCACATCGAACATGATCTTTCATTCTTTAATGTTTTTTAGAGGCAGCTCTGGCAGAAACACCACAGAGATTCACATTTTGAGGGAGGAATTTGCACAAAATAGTTTAAATCTAAAGTTTTTGAATTTAAGGGCACAAGTAATGACTGCCATAAGCTTTAATAGAAAAACAAAATGGAGATACTATATCTGCCCAGCCTTGTTTTCAAACAGGAAGAGAAGGGCAAACAAAAGAAAATGGGTTAAAAGAATAAGCGCTGTCCTTGTAATGTTGATGGAGGGATTCATTAGAGCGACTAACCTTTGCATCCGACAGAGTCGCAGTATTGACTTCCAGCTCCGAGGACCATCATGTCCATATCGCTGGGACACAAATGGCCACATAATGGTGCAATGAGCATAACGGTGATGTTAGCCATAAGCCAGAGCCATCCCAGTAACCAGCTATGATCCCACTTGAGCATTTATTGGACACTCTGACGCCTTATTTTAGTCTGGATCATTAAACCAGATGATCCTGAGTCGTTAGCGTCGGTCGTGATGAGGAGCGCCCTCGCCCTCTCTGAGCCGAGACGCCCCGGGATCGTGATGAGGGGGCTTCACGCCGCCGTCATAGCACACCCCCGAACACTTCAGTTATTTTTCACCTCATTTGAAAGAAAATACCAGATAATTAATCCACAATGTTCGACGAAACCGCCGGGTGAATTATCGGAAGCGCAGAACACGCGGACTGATGGATTAAAAGATGAATACGCATGAATGCACAAATGGTAAACAAAACGAGCTGACGGGTGCAGCGTGCCGGGAGGAGGAGGGAGAACAATCGGCC